AAGTACCAGAACTCCAAGTGATTCTTCACGAAATTCATTCCAAATGGATGATTTTGAGTGAAACTTTTCAATTGGTTGCAATTAGAAAAATTGCCCCCTTGCGTGAAAAGATTTCAAGAACTATTTGAAGCACAAACGAAAGAAAATGAACGTTGAAAAATTAATTATTAGACTTCGAATTGAAGAAGACAACAAGAGTTTTGAAAAGAAGTGTGTGGCTAAAGCCAATGTTGTGGAGTTTGGTCAAAGTAGTAAGACATACAAAAAAAGTCTGGACCATCTGGTAGCAAAAGGACCAAGCAAGGATCGAAAGGTGAAAAATTTCAAGGAAAATGCTTCAATTATGATAAAGTAGGCCATAAGTCTTCGGAATGCAAATTGTCAACAAAGAAGAAAGAAGCAAATGTGGTTGACTATATAGCACAAGATGTGTCGGAGTTGAATTTTCCAGCCGTCATTTTTGAAGTGAACTTTGTGAGATCAAACCCTAAAGAGTAGGACATGCGTGTTCTAATAAGGAGCTTTTTGCAACGTTCGAAGCAATTGAGAATGTGGAGAAGTTTATGGGAAGTTCAGCAACTTCTGAAATCAAGGATCAAGGAAATGTGGTTCTGAAGATGACCTCGAGAAATGAGCTGACTTTTAACAATGTGCTATATGTGCCGAAAATTCGCAAGAACTTAGTGTCCGAGTCGTTTTTGAATAAACATAGTTTTCGCATTGTATTTGACTTAAACAAAGTTAATTTTTCGAAAAGTGAAATGTTTGTCGGAAAAGATTATATTTTCGATGGTATGTTTAAACTCAATGTAATGATTGTTAAACCAAAAACGAATAAAACAAACTCTTCTGCTTATTTGTTTGAGTCTTCCAATTTGTGGCATGGTAGATTAGGACATGTTAACTATGATACCTTATGAAAACTAGTTAACTTGAATTGCATACCTGAGTTCCATATTGATTCCAAATATAAGTGTAAAACTTGTGTCGAGACAAAATTGATAAGGTCATCGTCTAAATCAATTGAACGGAACATAAAATCACTTGATTTAATTCACAATGATGTATGTGACTTAAAATTTGTACAAACAAGATGTGACAAAGTATTTCATTACTTTTGT